AGGAAGCACTCGTTGATCAAAATGATGTATTTGGTGGTCGAGAAAAACTGCCAACAATTGATCAGTTCACCAAAGGTTATGGTAAGAAAGAAAAAAAAAATTATTGCAAAAGAGCTTTAAAGGAAATGTGTAGTGGTTTTGTATATATATTCTGCATTTCCAAAGGACTAACAACTAAAATTACCTTTTTTTTTAGTCAGTTAAATAGGCGATAATGCACATTACCATTATGTATTATAATTATCAGCCAGAAGTTGGATTTTCATGCTCCTTTTGTCAAGTTCTCCAGTTTGTTTTTTTAAAATACATAACTGCCTTTATTAGTATTTTTAACCACTTGCCGTCTGGCGGCCGTAGATAGAGGGCCGAACGGGAGCTTTCTAGATGTGGTTGGGCGTTTTAAAATGTCCTCACCCCGTCCCCGCTCGAGTCCGCTATATGATAACAATAAAGTTAATTGTAGAAAAAAAATTAAAGTCACAAAAAATTAAAATCACACATAAAAACACCACATATGTTACATATCACCAACAACATCCGAGTGTGAGAAATAATTCTAGAACCATCAAACACTAAACTGATGAATGGTAAAAGCTTTTAAAGCATCGCCTATGGACAATTTTGGGTGTGGTAGTTTTTTGCAATTTCGCGCGCACACAATTTTAAGGCTTGACATGTTTGGTGTCTATTTAATGGAGGTGACCCCGCCTTTTATATTTTACCAAAAAAATGGGTGATAGTAAATGTTTCATAACATAATGTAGGGAAAACATTTTTTAAATAAAAGTTGAGTTCTTTTTTTGTTGTATAGTAAAAAATTAAAAACCTCAGTGGTGATTATATACCACCAAAAGAAATCTCTATCTGGCCCCAATCATCACTGAATAAATGTCATTTAAAGTACCGCAGATCTGAATACTGAAAAATGGCCTGGACAGGAAGGGGGTTTAACACCCTGGTCTTCAAGTGGTTATAGAAGAACTTTGCCCACCAATTTGATGTCTCCCAAAACAGTGACCTTTAAGACATGCTAACTGCCAAAGTTTCCATTGTGTTTCATTCCACTTTCAACCAATCTTTCAATCTCTCAAATGGCTGGTGCCATAGCTGATCACATATGCAACACCGCAATCCCAGTAGAGGCTAAGATGGCACCTTCCCTGGCTGTAAGGGCTAGGAGGTTGTAGTTCCACTTCAATACCTGCCAGGAGTTTAATGTTAACACCAATAAAAGTATTCTATAAAATGTATAATAAAAGGTTTTATTAAAATGTAAAAACAATTTAATAAAATATATGCAGTGAAAAAATGCAACATGCAGAAAAATCAGAAAATGTCCAGGTTTCATTTCAACATCGGTATTATGTTCCATCTACGGATTGTAACAAAGGCTCCTGGAGCCCCTAGTGCAAGGAGGCCTTGACTGTGGGAAGCATGGCAGTTGTAGGGGATTTAACCAGCTCATGAGTATGTAAAGTAGCTGAAGGTGATTGGCAATGTTCCAATGGGGTAATGGGGCAGTCTAAGACTTCCCACCAAGGCTTCGCTGAGGCCAGCTCCTCCATCGAGAGGATCGTCAACCACCGGAGAATATGTCCATCCACCAGCCCCTTTTGAGCATAATTGTCATAGCTTTCTGGGCGGTCTGACCTTGCTAGCAAGAGATTTAACTCTAATGGGGCTATGCCCTCAAGTTCAACTTTGTGTCAGTTGAATGCCTGCCTGGCACTAATGGTAAGGAAAGGTTCTCCTCTTGTTAGCTCTTTCAGGTGCTCACAGCACAGCTGTGACTGGGACTGGTTGTTTGGTTATGGTTATATATAAATATATATATATATATATATACACATGTATGTGGAACGTTTCCAATAAAGCTGTGGCTCTCCAACTTACTTTTGTGTCTGTGTTATCTTTGGTAAGGCTGCACTGTGTATAGCATTGTTGCTGGACCTGATTCTCTGCAATTAATGCTTCTTAGAGCTGATAATGTAACAGAAGCTATTTGTTTATTTCAGGACGGCCTGTGAATCCTTCAAAGACGTTTATGCAAGCTTTTTCCAATATCCTCTGTTCCGTCTTATTTGGAGATCGTTATGACCAGGGCCGGACTGGCCATAGGGCAAACCGGGCACTTGCCCGGTGGGCCGGGCCGAACACAATTAACCTGATTGTGTTCGGGCCGATCCGCTATGCCGACTCTGTGCAGAGCAGTGTCTACTGTGTGGTAGCACTACCACACAGTAGACACTAGAGGGCTCTGGTGGGGGAGTCCAGAGAAACACCTCCTCCCCCAGCTCTCTCTACTCTGTGCTCTTTCCGGAGCTTGCTGGTGCTGTTCCTGCAGCCTGCACTGTCCCGGTACCGGCCGAGATATTAACATATGAATGGGCCGTGGTAATTTGCATATCAATAACCGCACCCCATTCATATGTAAATACCACGGCTCATTCATATGCAAATCGCCGCCCCTCTGCCATTGCGCTTCTGTGTTTGGCTCCGCCCCCTGTTGTGAGGGGTGGGGCCTGTTGGTGGTCACGTGATTGGGCTGCTCAGTCTAAAATGCCCGGGCCTATTTTTAGTCCAAGTCCGGCCCTGGTTATGACTATACAGATGAGAGATTCACAAAACTTCTTTATATGACGGAAGAGCTGTTCCGACTTACCAGCTCAACCTGGGGTCAGGTAAACAGTCATTAAAGTGACAATAAAGTTAAAAAGTTTTCAAGCTATTTCAAATGCTAAAGACATCACTTACAATGGATGCTGCTCCTTGATGCTTAAAAGTGTTAGTTTCTTGCAGAATCAGCTGGTCCCCGAGCATTGGCCCATATGGCGCTACCCTTGTATGTGCTATAAAATTGTGTGTGTCTCTAAAAACACATAGCAAGGAAAGACTCTCCCCTCCTCCCTGCTCCCCCCTTCTCACTTCTACCTTCTCCAATCTAGTAGATGGGCATGCTGCTGCAGACTGTGCTGTCCCTTGGGATTTTGTACTGGACAGGAAGTTCAGGGACGTGGAGCTGGGAGTGTCAGCTATTTGGAAACATGACTGTTTGGGCAAAATGTATAGAAATACTTTTCTGGGCAATGCATATTTGTTTGATCTAGATTCATTATTAAAAAAAAAAGAAGTGTGAGGGTTTAATACTACGTCAGAGTGTACCTTTCATTAACTTTACAAATCCCTATTAATAAGTTCCTGTTATGCCACAATATACAGAAAAAGCCTAATTATGCTCTACCATTTCATCATTAATACGCAGTCATTAACCTCCAGTCAAGTGACTTTGCCTAGGTAAAGATGATAAGATAATCTCATAAGTGAGATGTGGTCAGTAGGAGGTATTTCCCCAATCCCCTCTCCCCCAGTTATGAGAATGTAACATTATAACTTTGTAGCCAGTCACAAGGTGAGAGGCCACAGCAGGAGGGCTGATCTGTGTCAGGGATGTGTTAACACAAACAAGAACTGTACAGGCACCAGGATTTACATGACTGTGTCATTTCTGAGTCAGCATTTCAGTCTAGGAAGTATATACATACTCAGGATGCGGCCAAAACAGTGTAATACTTCTAATTCTATATGAAACCAACAATAAATGCTCAGGTCATTAAAGGTGAAATCCCTTCAGTTTTTTTAATCATTACCTGTAATCATCTACTGTATGTAACCACTAAATATTATGCAAATATTTACAGAGGACACTAAGCCAATTATGCAGTTTTCTTCTTGAGTATAACTTAGATTCTACCACACTCATACACTTCAGGACCAGTCTGGGTGGAAGGCAGTTATCCCATGTATGTATAACACCCAGAAGAATGCCATTCAAACATAAGGAAAACACAGCCCCGTGCAGCCAGTCACTCAGGCCCTCTGCTCTGCAAGATCAATGTTCTACCCACAAAGCACTGTGCACTACCAGCTAGCTGTATGAAGTGGGTTGTGGACCATTATTTAATGCATATTTTTATGATCCTGATCATCAGGTCCAGAGCATTCTCCCAACACTGATGAGCTACGTTCCCGGACCTCACCATAAGGCGGTCTCAATCTCGGAAGAAATGGTTGAATTTGTTGCCGAAATTGGGGGGGCTGTTCTGTACAGCAATCATGCACTGCTTGCAAAACAACACAAGTTTAGCCTCCTAGCTTCCACTCTTAACATTACTAATTCTGACCCACCGGTCTTCTCTGTAGTGCTGTCCTGCACTTGTACTGGTGGCCCCTCAGGCTCTCAGCTCTATTAGCCTCACCAGTTCTCCCAGCCTCCCTGGTTTTCTTTTTGTGTCTCAAGTACATACACCACCTGACTCCGCTTTGACTTCTGGGGGAGTCCTCCTGACTCCGGAAGACGGTCTGGTCCTATTTCCCAGCAGGAGCTAATTCCCCTAGCTAGCACCTTCTCCTTAAGGGTTGTGGGTGCTGGTCACTGCTAAACCCTGAACTCAGGACTGAAGATCTCATCCCTCCTGAATCACTTTGAAAGCTCCCGGTTCCAGGTTCTCAAGAAGAATCCAGAAGATCTGAAAAGAACTAATAAGCCAACTTTTTCCCTGAAAAAATACCTTGCCTCCTCACACCTCTCATCAGAGTCCTGGGTGATCATAACACCAAATTTCACAGTGGGATTGCCACACAATACTACAACATATATACAGTATATATACACACCGATTAGCCATAACATTATGACCACTGAGGGGTGAAGTGAATAACCTTGATTATCTCATTACAATAGCACCTGGAAGTGGGTGGGATATATTAGGCAGCAAGTGAACATTTTTGTATCTGAAGTTGATGTGTTAGAAGCAGAAAAAATGGGCAAGTGTGAGGAATTGAGCAACTTTGACAAGGGTCAAATTATGATGGCAAGACAACTGGCAGGAGAAGGGGGACCTACCTAAACTTAGGCAGGTGGCCATAACACTATGGCTGTTTGTTGTATATATTCTTTTGACCTCTACAGTCAAAAACGTACTCTTCAATGCAGGGTAACAATGTCTACTGATAGCTCCCCCAAGAAAGTGGGGGATCCATTCTCCCTCACCACCTCCCCGTTCCATTGGAACTCTCATTCCATTGTTCTAATGGAGCGGAGCTGTGACTTTTTCCATGGCAAATCCCTAGACCTAAACACTGTCACATGGGGGAAAGGAGTGACATCATCCACCGTCATCCAACATGGGGGCTTACCACAACAATTAAACGTCACTCATCGTGATCAGCATTTTTGTTTGGAAATTTTGCAGACCTCACTGATGACCTTTTATGGTGGTTTATCTGGTAAGGCTGGCTAATCCCCAGAGCCTGCAGCATATGAAAAAAACTTTCATCTGTCCTTTTTGTATGTTGTCAGTAGAATCACTCTGGGTTTCTTAAAATTCTGGTTACTCCTAGCTAGAATAGATTCTGTCTTTTCCTATGTTGTCAATGGAATCATTCCTGGTTCCTTAAAGTTCTGGTGATTCCTAGCTAAAATCGATTAAGCTTTTACTGTATTGTCAATGGAATCATTCCTGATTCTTTAAAATTCTGGTGACACCACCTATAATAGATTTATTAGCCCTTTGCTAGTAATTTATCCTCCAATGGCTTGAGGTGTGTTTTGCTTTGCAAAGTTTTACAGCTATGTGTTTATTTGATTCTTGTAGTAAAACCTAGGAAACTGACCCAGAAGTGGCATTTAATGTACTCTTACTTTAAAAAAATGCTATGTGCAGTAACTCCTTAGTTACATGTAAAAATAATACAAAACGCAGACTTCTAATACATATATACACATGCATACACCATATCCTTCTCTAGTACATGTAATAGTTTCTATAAGACAATACACTTAAAAGTCAGGCTTCAGTTGTTGCTGGTCTACAAATTCCATATTGAACAGGACTTTGTAGCGTTTAAGCCTTCTCAGGAAAAAAGCTTTGTCGTGGCTTAGTGTTGTCCTTTGTTCCAATCACAGTTCTTCAGTCTAGTCCTCCTAATGGCTTCTGCCTATCCATCTTTATTCTAGTTGCCCCCATTCACTCACATGCGGAATCTATGATTGGTCCAAAGAACGCAAAAATCACAACAGTGATTGGATGGCAACTGAAGTCTCTCTGAAAGTGCTATAAATTAATGTTCAATTCTATTCTGTCTCTGAGAACAGTCTAAAATAAATATTATCTTCCCGAGTCAACACCGGCTCTAACATTCCTAAAGGAGCACCTGTCGTACAACAAGTTGAGAATCATATAAGGAAAAGATCAGTGGAGAAGTAACCAAGACATACCAAAACACTGCAGAACAAATAATATAGTTCATTCACTGGATTAAGGAAATACTGAGCAGATTCTAGCATTGTGATATTTACAGCCTAGAGTTGCCTAAGCTTAAACCCTTGACGGAAGGTAAAACCAACCCTAAAAACCCAGTTTTTCAACATTGGCATGTGCATTCAGGTGAACTATAACTTGTTTTTTTTTCTGGACAATATTTTTTCTACCAGATAAACTTCATGAGGAAATTGATCGGGTGATTGGACGAGACAGAATTGTAAACATGGACGACAAGCTCAGTATGCCATATACACAAGCTTTAATCCATGAGGTGCAAAGATTTTGTGACATTGCTCCCTTCAATGTGCCACATATGGTGACAAAAGACACAATGTTTAGAGGCTTTTATATTCCCAAGGTAGGAAACAAAATCATTTTAGATGGAATGTCTGTGAAGGTTCTCATTCATCCAGGTCATGGTATATCTGTAAAAAATAAGTCAAGGCAACTAGACTTGCTGTCATTTTCTTGAAGACGTTTCACTGGTCATCAAGGTGTCTTCAAGAAAAATACAGCAAGTCCAGTTACCTTGACTTATTTTTTACAGATATTTTAGATGGAAGTCCTTTTCTTTCTTCTTCCTCTTTCTCACCCCTACTCTACTCTACCCTTCTTTTCTTTACTTTCATATGCTTTATGCAGACCATGCATTCCATATACTCATCCTTGAGCTTTTCTTTTATAATGGTATAAAACAGGTTGCATATTTCCTCAAATGTATTTGCTTCCTGATCTTACCTTGGAGGTTGTTGATGACTAGGCTACTGATGGCATAATATGTAAACACTTTATACCTTTACAGATGGAAATTTTACTTTTTCTGTTGGTCTCATTCATGTTGTGTGCTGTCTGTGAATTGTGTTCCAATCATAAAAATCCAATTGGAAGAAAAAATATTAGTATGTAAGTAATTTATAGTAAAACCTGGATGCTCCTAGTAAACTTTACATGCCATTTAACATATCCCGAAAAGGCCCGACTATCTGACACATAAAGCAAATCTGTGCATAGTACATAAAGGGCAAATAAATACATTTGCTTGGTTAAAGGATTTGTCAATCCAGGTAAATTCTATTAGCTCCTCAAATAACAAGGACTGCATGAAATGCAATATTTCATTGGCCACAGCAGCCTTTTTATTTACAAACAAAAATATATATAACATAAACAACAAAATTATAAAACAATTTTGCCAGCAAAACCAAATTAAAAAGGAAATTGTCCATACCGTTAGCAGCACCCCACCACCAATGACCAAACAAGTGAAATCACCATGCCCTAGATGGGCCCCCAGTTTTGTAACAATTCACCTTTTCCACTGGCCCATCAAAACCCCCCTGACCAACCAAGCCAGCCAATCAGCCAAGCCCACTGCTATGATAGTCCCCATGTTTTTTATGTCCATCTGACACTTGGTATCACGCACCTGAGGATGAAAGCGGAAGATGAGGAGGCGTCTCTGGTGACTCGTGTCCTGCGACCCCTGGAGTTTGGAACAGGAGGACGCAGGGCAACGAGGAGCATGAGTGCCACAGATTGGAAGTGAACACCGTGCAGGAGACTTCCTGTAGAGAGGTCAGCAGGCCAAGGATCAAACCAGGCGGGCAGCCTAGGAACAGACCCGGGAGCCAGAAGTCGAAGTCGAGGAAGCCAATGGTCAGATCCAGCCAGGCAGCGAAGCACAAAATCAGCAGGTAAGAGAAAATCCAGAGAACAGGCTGGGGTCAGGGGCAGGCATCAATCAGAAGGTAAACCAAGTCAAACAGGTCATAGGCAAATTGACAGAGGCACAGACAACAGGCAACACAAGCTGACAAGACCATCAGCAATGTGAAGCAGGCAGGCTCATCCTTATATAGTCTCTTAATTGAGGCAACTACCTCACTTCCTGTGCGCCATCTGCCCGCAAGTCTTCCCACGCACCATGCACATGCGCACTATGGCGTGCTTCTAGAGATTGAGCTTTTGCGCATGCACGGCTGCCATTGTGCTCTTACACTTGGCCTCTTACCAACCTAAAATTTGAGAGCAGGTGGGTAGAGGAAAATTGTCTTTCATTACCTGCATTTTCTGCAATAAATACCAAGTAACTTTTACAGGAATAGCTCTTGTGTTTCCTCCCTGCCCACCTGACTTTTATCCATCAATCCATTAAGTCCTTCACCTTCTCCACAATAAACTCACACCTTGAATTGTCTTTGTCCTGTTTCTTCCATTAGTCATGCAGACCTTCTGTCCATTTTGCTCTTCTCCAGATCTCACTGTAATTCTCCTTTACCCACCAAGATACACTATCTTACCTAAACATTCCCGCTACACTGTCCAGCTGAAAAGAAAATACCCAGTAGTTTTGGGTATGAAGGAATACAGTATATGACTCACTCCATGTGACAGCAATGATGCCTGGTGATAGGCCCAGCGCTGTCACATGGTTGCGGGGAGAGAGTTCTCAGGCCTGTGTAAGCTTTGACTTAAGTGGCACACAAGACTTTTTTTCCTGCAGCCAAACAGAGGGGCAGAGGAAAGAAGAGAAGGTGAGTATGTGCTTCTGCTGCAAGAAATGTTAAAATGAGCCTATTGCTTGGCCATGTACAGGCAAAGAACATGTTGTTTTTTAGGCACATTTCTATTTTAAACGAAAATAGAACGCTGCCACACTCTTTTTTTAAAGTGATATATGAACAATTATGGTATACAGTCACCAATCATCATTCTTTAATACCTTTTTAATGTACTTCATTGCAGGGCACAGACGTCTACACTCTGCTATGGACTGTTCACCGTGACCCCACACAGTTCACTACTCCATATAAGTTTAATCCCAACCACTTTCTGGATGAAAATGGCAAATTAAAAAAGAATGACGCCTATATGGCTTTCTCTATAGGTGGGTCCATCTCTAAATAACCAGATGCTGTGATTATTATTGTATGGTGTTAGTAACCAGGTCATAAAGATGCTTCTAAATTATTCATCATTTGAAATAAACAATCTGTTTCTGATATCCTACTTAAATGACTCCAATGGTCAGATGATCTAATTATCACTGGGAAATTTTGAGCAACATTCTAGTGGATCTGGCTGCCAAAAGTGCTTCTTAAAAGCATTGAATCTTATAGCTATTCAGTGATGACTATTCGTATATATAAAAAACATAGGATATAAAATGTAGCTCATGCTCATGTACAGTGGCCTAGTAAGGGATGGAGTATACCCCATTTGAACCCTAGAAATTGAAATGAAATATCTTTGCAGGAAAGAGGAGCTGTCCCGGAGAAAATTTGGCCCGAATGGAACTATCTATCTTCCTCGTCACCATCCTGCAGAACTTCACACTGACTTCTAAGATGGAACTATCTGAAGCTGACTTGGCTCCTAAGTTGAAAGGGTTCCTAAATGTCCCCATACTGTATGAGCTGTCATGTGTCCCTTGCTAGATCTACTGGACTTTTTCACCTTGTTGCAGTAGTTCTCATTGTCACAAACATCTTTAGTAAATTATAACTTTTCCTTTTCTATGAATTATTGTTAATTTTCTCTCTTTTCAAATAAGAACTCTGGCCAATTATTATTAGTATCAGATATGGTGGGAAAGGGTTAGAACCTGTTTGAGGTTTCATTGCTGTCTGTGTCCTAGATGAGCAGATTCCCTCTTGCATCCTTTCCTGGTGGTCATCTAGGTATTGCTGTGAGTTTAAAGTAAAACTATAGACAAAATAAGAAATGGTATATATGCTGCATATACTGTATGCTACAGTGTGTCACTAACATTAACACAGCAGTTTTTTTTGTTTTTGGAACCCCCCTCCAAAATATAGTTGCATTAAGTGTTGAACCTGGCAGTATATCAGATATTTTTTCACTTTCTATAATAGGATAGTCTTGGGTGGCCATGTTGTTTTAAATGGACTTTAAGCATGTGAAAAAATAAATGAAAGTCTAACTATAGCTTACACATTTTTGCAAAATACCTTTTAACCAACTTTGTAAAGAAAAATAGGGTAACAGTGAGGCAACATATACTGTATAATCTACAAGTTAAGAGAAAATGAACATGTACAATTACCACTATATGGGAATGCATATACCTAGGGCTCTCCATCCAAAACATGAGTTAACAAGACCTTGACAAGTGAAAGATAAGGGAAAAAAGAAAGTGAGGAAAAAAAATGTAAAAATACTTAATTTTACCCCGGCTTCCTTTTTGCAGAAGATGAAGTCAATATCTTTAAGGCAATTTTCCCAGAAATGCTGTGTAGCCCATATGACACTACAGCACAGTGCAGCATTTTGAGATGGGAGAGGGGGACAAAAAAAAGAGGATCTTGCAATTTTAGTGCGATAGGTAGTTTTTTACTTTAATAGTTTAATAGGTAATCGGAACTGATCGTTAAACAGATGGAACAAATTGCTTCCTATTGTATAAACTATACAAGTAGCATGTAGTAGGAACTAATTTCCCATGATAACTCAATCCCACAGTTATATGTGATTGAATTCTACTACATTTTGTTACACCAAAGGGAGTCAGGTAAAACAGCTTATATATTTAACTTTTATATTTTTTTTCTCTTGTGTATTTACAGTAGTTTGCATGGAGTTTGGAAATAAAGGTAAACTATACTGGTTTGGGGTCAATTTTATTTTAGTTGTTTTATACATTTATAAGTTTTACATTTTTTTTTATTTTTTACAATGGATATTTTCCAAAAAAACATTTAATACAGGCCCAATAAATAGCTTAGACTTAGCTTTAGCTGCAGAGACAGCTGATGAGATCCTGCATGCTTTGAGGCTCCTGTTCCCTAACTGAAACTCAGAGTCAAACAGTATGGGAGATGTCACCACTCATTCACATGTGGATGTAAATTTCAACTTAAGCTATTTAGGTCCGTAAACAGGCTTACCAGACAGGCAACAGGGTGCAAGAAAATACATGAAAGGGAACCCATTGGCCTCAAATGTAGAATACAAAAATTGTAAATTGTAATGTACTATAGCAATATTTTATTTTGACCTGATCATGTTTATTTAACAATACAATATATTTAAAATTACTCTACGTCCATGTGGTAGCTTGCCCAACATATCGGTTGCCATATCTACATTTAATTAGGCAAATAACCAGTAGTGGTGAAAAATTTAAGATACTCTCACAAAAATACCACTGGCCCTCAACTTATTGTATTACATTAAATATCATGTGTGTAATACAATGTAGATGTGCCAAACAATTCATTGGGCAAACTGCCCAGGAATTAACGTGGCACATTAGAAAATATATTAATGGCCTTGAGATATATTGTAGTGGTATAAAGGCTGCAAGACACTTTGTTTCACAAATTGTCCTGTTAAATGTATGGCTTTCTTACAGTTCTTCTAGTGCTACAGTTTGGCACCTTTTATGAAGTTATAATATACTGTCATTTTTTTATTTGGAGAGTAGGGGGCTATCATGAAAGGGTTAATCGCTTCAAGAACCGCTTCAGTGAAAGGGCTGATTTGGACTGATGCAGTTTGTTATAAAAGTTCCAAAGGAAGGATTAAATTGGCACTGATTTAAAACATGTCTTTATTTATCACTTGTTAGCTTGCTTTCAAGTGATGCCCAGATGCCAAAGATTGTGTTTAGACTGAACAGGTGGGTTCTGTGAAGAATCCCCTTAGAAGGTGTTTGCTCTCATGGGAGGTTCTTTTTTTTTACAGCTTCCTTCTGCAAACCTTGTATATTATAAATAGGTCCTCATTCGTACCTCCTGTAGCTCCTATAGACTCTGGAATAAAGCTAAACTCAACAGAAGTTACACATAGTAGATATTTGGCCAGATAGACATTGTTCTAAAATACTTTATTGCCATTAAGCTTCACATTCCTCTTATGTCAGTTGTGGGACTGACCACTCTGTCCTGCACACTTGGCAATCCAACATACTTGATCAGACACACTCTTCTCTTCCTCTGCACTGCAAGTCTGTGTGACGACACCCATGATGAGAAGTGTGACCATTGGTCATCTATTCCAGCATAAAGCACTGTAGTCGAGAGTGGTGGCGGGAGTGGCCACCAGAACAAAGAGAGTAAATGTCCCTAATGGGGGACTGAGGTTCTAACCCTCACCACTCTATCCAAAACTAAAATAAAACAATTTGGGCTTTAGATACTAGACATGTAAGCTGGCAAAAAATGTGTTTCCTTTCAGACTTTTCTTTTTTTTTCGTTTATTCAGAAGTCAATTTGTTTCCGTATTCAGATTCATCCAAATCCAAAATTATCTTAAATTTCGGACGAGTTAAAAGATATTTAGAAATGAGAATTTGTTGCAGTGACATTAAATGTTTACTTTTGTTCTTTTTAACTTTTGACAGTCCACAGAAACAATAATAATTAAAAAAAATCAGCGTGTCGATCCAGAATCCCATTTCATATGAAACCCCTTTAAATCTGGTAGGAATTTTAGGGGGGACCCCAACGCCCCCCAAAAAAAGACACAAGTTGATTATGCATAAAATTAAAAAAAAAATTCAGATGCATCCGAATTTCGTTATCGGAAAATTTGGATAAGTTTGGATTCGTCATTGCTTTAACTCAAAAATTCAGATACATCCGAATTTGCTGATATTCGTCCGGATTTCAATTTGTTATGAAAAGAATCGCATTTGTCCACTGGCATTCCTTTGTACACCTTATCGGAACAGAAGGCAAAAAAGCAGCACTAATTGGATGTTCAATGCATACTAGGACTGCATCATACACATTAAACATTAGAGGTTCAGGGTTTGCGTTCATGCGCACGTACATTCACACACTTATGTGACCCCGCAATTGTAGAAATTAATCTCTGCTTATACTGTATATTTTACTGCAGGGACCTACAGGCCTTGATGCCTAGGTAGGGAGAATACATTCCTTTATTCTCCCAACTGCAAGTCCCCAGTGTAACTTACCTTTATTTGGTATATTAAATATTGTCCAGGCACTATTTATATTGTCTTTGTTTTTTTAATACATTTTTATTTGGAGATTAAGGATTTTGTGTGTATATTTTTGTATTCATAGTTTATTAATGCTCATGTTATACTGTATATTATGAAACAATTAACACAAATAAAGAAAACATTCAGTGTGTGGATAAAACAGACTTCTTAACACAGGGGTGGACACATTAATATGCATTTCAGGAGGTAGTCTGTCCAATCCAGGAGCCAGCAGGTTTTTTATTAGCAGCCAGCTCTATTAGCAACAGCTAGAGAAAAGCTCAAAAGTTAGGCACCAGGAGTCATTTTTAAAGAGCATTAGCTACCTGGCTCTTGGGGTTTGCCCCTGTCATATTACACAGTCCTATAATTTAAAAACTTTCAGATGTTTCCATTTTCATTATCCTCTCCATGGTGTCATCATCGTGGTTCCACATACATTTGGTACGATCTGACTATAACACCATTTTTACCAGGTTCTGGGGTTATTTCAATATCTTCTGGAGCTCTGTTTGTCTTAAAATCTAACTTCTGCAGTATGGTGGTAAGGAAAAGAAAGATCTCCATTTGGGCCAGACCCTCTCCAAGACAATTTCTCTTCCCTGTTGGCAACACAATAGTCAGTTACAAAAAAATAAAATAATACATGGACTTAAAGAGAATCTGTTATAAGAGGAAATCTCTCTGACTTCTTTAATCCCCACCCCATTATGAAGACTGCACAGGGCCCCCTGTGGTCCATTTCCCCCTGTGGATCTGATGAGTACTGGGACCCCTACAACTGCCACAAAAACTTGGACTTTGCTCATTTCTGTATAGCTAAAAATCCTTACACATTGAATAAAGTGTTTTAACGTAGCCAATACTCAAAATTCACCTTGCACAGGGGCCCCTTTGGGGACTTTGGTAGTTTACATTATCCAGGGTGATCTAAGTGAATCTCCTGCTTCACGAGAAGTCACTCACCAGGAACAAATATGCAGGTTAGAGGTTCCAACTCCCACTTGATGGAACTTCTGACTAAACTTGAGTCAGACAATGGCTAAAGGGTTAGAATTCTGACTTTCCAGATTCTGGAATCTGGAATCCTATCAAGGCATCTGTATGTTCTACACATGTTCTGTATGTTTCATGGGTTTAATATAGATGCCCTGCTTTCCTCCCACATGTCATAAACATTGGCATCTGATCAAATTGGTATTAGAGTATGCTTCCTCACAGTTGTCACGTGACTACAAAACTCCTCCGTGTAAATAATTGGCTTGACAAAGGGGGTAATTTACAAGGAGAGCCATCATGTCACCTACTGGCTTCCACTGTTCCCCATTAAAGGTGGGGGCAGAAGGTTCCTTTCCACCAGCTTCATTAGGCAATCAATGACAGAGAGGAGCTTTGCCGTCATGTGACCACTCTGAAGAGGATTAAAAAAAGCTACTTATACTGTATACTGCAATTTCTTAATTCAGTATGCATTGTGTATATAATCAGTGGGGAGGCAGTGTTTTAAATGTGGGTTATTTCAGCTTTTCCTTCTTCTTTAACTTATTACTTCTGTTTGTGTTGCTATTAGATGGTCTTCCCTCTCCAACCGGGCCTCTGACAGCAGGGAAACCTGACAGGTGTTCTAATCCTTCCCCACTCTATCCCATAATAAATACAAAAAGTTATGACTACAAAAATGTAAGTTTTGATCACAGAACTTATCTAATACTTGAAAATTCAAAGAAAGCAGTTGGAGAATAAGTTCTACTGACCTCACAAAGACCTCTAGACTCTGTGCAGGTTCATACCTGTTGCTGTACTAATATAACCATGGGCAGTTATTTCTTCAATAAGAACTTTTGTAAATGCAATATTGTATGCTAGACATGTGCATGACCGAAAAGTTCAATTCATATTCATTTTAGTTCAGATTTGTTTTTTCGTTTTCTGTAATTTGGATCCATATTTACTAATCAGAATGATCCAAAGCTTTTGTTTTCAGAATTTGGATCTATTTGAATTTATTTGGATGGAGTTTAGTATGTTGTTAAACGTGAGAGTCAAAATAAAATAGATTGTGAAGTCCTCCAAAATCCCTTACCAGATCCTTGATCTGAGCATCGGCCTGGCAGAGCAGAAAAGATGGAAAGGTTGAGCGCCCCACCTCCTGTACCATACCAGGCGACTTGCCCTCAACATGGGTCAGGGTCCCCCTGTTGATGAGGACAAGGGCCCCTTCCCTACAACCCCGGTCCGGTGGTTGTGTAGGTCTGTTGGCGGCGGGGCTTATCTGAAAAGGGGCACCCATATGTGCCCCCCCTCCAGAATGAGTAAGGGGTAGTTGTTACCCCTACTTATTCACCAAATAAACATTTGGAGAGTAAATAAACACACTACACAGTTTTGACAAGTTCTTAATGAATAAATCTCCCCCCAAAATAAAGGCTCATGATGTAAATCCATTGTCAATCACATCGTCCAGCACCCAGATTCAGAAAAGCCTCCCTGCCCACAGACCCCCACAACCACCGGGCCAGGGTTGTGGGAAGAGGCCCTTGTCCTCATCAACATGGGGACCCTGCCCCATGTTGAGGGAAAGTGACCTGGTATGGTTGGTGTGGGCACACAATAATCTACCCCCCCTTTCCTGCTCTTGCAGGCTGCACTTCGGATCAAGGGTCTGGTAAGGGATTTGGGGGTGTGGGATCCCACACTTTTTTGGCATTCCTTTTTTGTCATTTGGAATTCCTACTACATCTGAAGGGTCTCATATGAATTTGGGGGGGGACCCCATGCTGTTTTTATTTTTCGATTTTAACCAGTTGACATCTGCGGTGTTAAATAATTGTCGTCTGGAGACGGCAACCCGCAGATGTAGCAGTGCCGTCCGTCCGTTTTTTACTACGGGCGGACGGCAAGAGGTTAACAAGACATTAGTTCATTCAAAATTACATCTGGACAACATTCAGATGCATACAAATTTTTGTTATCAAAAATTTGGATACGGTCAAATTCCTTATTTTGCCACTCAATTTTTATGTATTTAGATGTATCTCAATTTTGAAATTTTGTCGAAAACGAATGCACTAGTCTATTATACATATGTTTTTTAATCTTACCAATAGAGAATGGTATAAAGGCTTTGTTATTCTTAAACTGGCCATGTTCATCCAGGAAGTGTCCAGGATCAAATTTTTCTGGGTTCCTAAAGTATTTAGGGTCCTTTAGGACGGAAGAAAGCAGTGGGGAGACAGTTGTATCCTAAAATGAAAGGATTTAGAAACATTACTGGCAATAATGTATACTGTTATACCCAGCACAAAAATCAGTTAATGTAACCTACTTTCCATCAAGTAAATCTACCCCACTTTTTCATATACAATTTTTTTTTAAGATTATGTCTAGGCTAATCCTTTTCTATTAAACATTACTCAGGGCACTCATCCAAGCTACTTCCCCACTTAGATTTGAAAAAAAAAAACAAACATCTAAATACTTACCTAAATTTACCATGGTCATGTGATGAGCCGGGTTCTGGGTCTTCTTACTTTGAGACTGCAGTATGAAAGGGTCCTTCTTTGGGTTCCTAGGTTGCTGTCTGGCGATGAGGACACTTTCCATTGGCTGTCCATCAGTGGGTCCTCAAAGGGTCCTTAAGACTCCTGTGGTGGCTTCATAACTTCATGACAAGGAGTGGCAACAAGCCTGGTCCACAGGCCTGGATCACAACAGTGGATCGCCGGTCGTCACTCCTGAAAGAGGTGATGCGAAGGGTCATAACCTCTGCCTCAGTAGTCAAACATGCTTGTGACAATACCACATATGGATGCAGGCTCCTTTCCAAGGAACTTGGCCTCTATTGTTTCAAGGCATTTGCTCATGCATTTTAAGGTTGGAGGCCTCTTCTTCAGAGGATATGAGGAGGTGGACCCCATTCTCCAAAGGTATAAGTGAGTGGCATGGACCAAGAGTGGGAAGGGTTGAGTTTACGCAGGAGCTTGTGTTTCACTATTGGCACTTAAGACTCCTGTCTCCATTGTGAATGCTTTTAGTCCACATATCTGTTAAAGTTTCATCAGTAATGGTGCAGTGGCAGTATGCTCTTTGTCTTTTTATAACCAATAGAAATGCACGAGCAGTAGATTAAAGTCATATTAACTCATTGATAATTGAGCTTATGTTTTGCTTCTTTTAATCATATCTTCTCAAGTAATATGCAGATTAGTTTATGCCAGTCTTCTGATATATCACTGTCATGGTATACCGCCTTTCTTTCTGGAATGTTGATTAACAGAAGGATTTTGCTGAGATTGTGATTTTTGATGAACAGAAGGAGTTTGCTGTGATTTTAATTTAGGCTGTAATAGAGTTTATAGTACACAACCTGGTAATTATCATCAGCAACAGGTGGTTAGCGTATATTAGGGATGCACGGATACTGGTTTTTCGGTATCAAGTACGAGTACTGATATTTTGCTTTCAAGTCTCGCCAAGTACCGGTACTGGTGTTTCCGCTGGCATGGAGCCAGTTTCCCGGTCAATCAGGAAGCCGGGGGACGGGTAATGACATGACGTTCGGCTTCCTGATTGGCCGGGAAGCCAGCCCCATGTAGTTTGGCCAGCTTGATTGTGATTGGCCGGGAAATCTACTTCCAAGCCATCGATGGCAGGCTTCCCAAGCCAATCAATATTGAGCCAGGTTCCCGGCCAATCAGGGAGCTGGGCGGCGAGTAATGACCCGCCTCCTGGCTTCCTGATTGGCCGGGAAGCCAGCTGCATGCTGATTGGCTGGGAAGCCTGTCATCGAGCCGGCTGTTGCACGTGAAGCTGGCTCCATGTATCCCTACAGCACTTCCGTTCAGAGGAAATCTTCCTCTGAACGGAAGTTCTGGCAACGGGAAAGGTATTGGAGCATTTGGGCGAGTACGAGTACTCGCCTAAATACTCGGTATGGCACCGATACTAATATCGGTATCGGTGCATCCCTAGCGTATATCAAAGATTACTCCATACAGCCATGGAATGTGGAATATTGTTGTGCATAGTGTAGTCCATACTGGTTAAATGTTGGGGTTATTATACGATGCATCTGGCCATTTTACTTTGCAAGGCCTTACTGGACAATACTGCATGTGTTGCTGCAACAAATCATCAGATGGGAGTAGGTTATGAAAGAAAAAAAGACTATTTTGAATTGCCTCCAAGAGAAAAGAACAGCTGACATAGAAGTATGAACAATTTGGCCTTCAATGTATAATGCTATATGAACATGCTGGAATGGTAAAGGTCTGATATATGAGAAAAGGGCAGCGGCTGAGAAGCAATTGTGTGTCATTGATTTCGACGGTAAACAGAACCCCTGACCTTTGGAATGCTGTATCCTTGGAATACTGTATCTTTGCTGGCTGAGTGTGGAATTCCCAAGGGAACTATGTCAGCAAATCTCTGGATTTCATGAATCACAGCATCTGTGTATGGCATCCTAATACGATCCTCCATTGAAGGAGATCGACTCTGCCCAATGACGTTGTCTATCTCCTCCTGCATCTTTCCTGTACACACACACACAAAAAAAAAAAAATATTTGTGAAAAATGCAAAAATAAGGAATGCATTTTAAAAGTTTAAGTTTAACAGTGTTAAAAACCTTGGGAGAATGACCTCGTCTGAAGGTTTAGGTCTCCCTATGTAAATACGGATGTGGATTATTTTGTGAGTTTTACAGAAAACTGTAATTTCAATGCAATGCTACAGATTAAAGGGCCAGTAGTGACCCTCAGTCAGAAACAGATTCAATAAAAGTTTCTCAACCCTTGCAGTGAGGCTACCTCCCGTTAAGTGCTCGTTTTTCTCTATGTGCAAAAATAAAAAAAATATACTCACCTGAACCTCACAGCCGTCTGGCTGTTACAGCGCTCCCCAGCCTGTCTCCTCCTCCACTGCAGTGAAGGTATGCCCCTCAGCATCCTCACATCTAATACACAGTGTATAGGATGTGAAGACTCACGGCACCTTAGACTGCTTGAGCAAAAGGGGAAAGTGGCTCCATGGACCAGTCTAACAGCCAGCCAACTCCGACAATCAGGTGAGTTCAACTTTATTATTTTTGAACTTAGTCAAAAACAAGCACTTAACCTTTGCAGTGCGGGGGTAGCCCCACTGAAGGGGTTAAGAAAAGTTTTGCCTGGAGTCAGAAAAAAGCCCAAGGCTTTGGATGACCGAACTCTGCACTCAAGACAGATATATTCAGGATAGGGGCAGAGGAAGAAGGAGCGCCTGTCTTGGGTGCCATGCTGCGGGTGGCACACTTGGGAAAAGAGCCTCTCCTGCCTCTGCAACACTCTTTTTTAGGAGCTCTGTATGCTCCTGATAAACAGAGCACAGCTACTGGCTGTCATGGAGCTTCGATGAATACACAGGCAGTTTTTTGCAGCTTGGGGTCTAGTCAGTTTGTATTTATCATTGTATTTTTGTAATAAAGGAGTTGCTAAAGCTATTTAACTTTAATCTATTTGGGTATTTTGGGGTTAAATATTTGGGAGACTAAAGGAACAGGTTGGCGTAGCAGGTCCTTGGTGCAAGTGGTCTGGGGACACATGGACTACCCCTATCATGGGGGAGAGACATAAACTACTGGAGTTGTGGATATGCAAGCCAGGTCAGGAGAAGTTTGCTCAAAGGTTTTATTGTGCATCATCAGTGCAATCCAACCTCCATCACTCTCTGTGCTTGAACACTGTCATACACTTAATAATATAAGGAAATATAATGTCACTTACTTGCCACATCTGCATGCTTGAGCAGGATGAGAAGTGCACTTTTCAGAGTGGAACCAGTTGTTTCAATTCCAGCATTAAACAGATCCTTCACTGTTGCAAATAAGTTATCAATGTGATATTCAGTGTTTGAGTTTTCCTTTTCCTGTGGATATTAAGATTATTAGTATTATTATACAGGATTTATATAGCGCTGACAGTTTGTGCAGCACTTTACAATATAAGGAAGACATTACAATCACAATACAATTCAAGACAATATGGTAAGGAGGGCCCTAACTGTGAGGGCTTACAATCTAAAATGATATAATTTTATTTTCTACCATTACAGTGAGAGAAGCTCCAGAAAAAAACCCATAAAAGGTATGGAACCTCAGTTTGTATTTTTTCTTCAGTGTTCCTGTAAGAAAGATTTGACCTCACATCCTGTTCCAGACACCACACAACAAGTTAGCACAGGAAGTAAATGGAAATCTCCCAGAAAGCAATAAAACTGAGTTCTAACCCTTCAAAAACTAAAATAAGATATAAAACCTTTTAGCTGGCATTCCATGTAACATTGTAACAATGCACCATAATCTAAAGTAGAAGTAGGCACTAACTGATAAATAGACATCACCTCTTCCATCTTTATGAGAAAGCTGTCAATGAAGTCCCGTGGGCAGTTCATATCAATAGTCTTCTTATGATGATCTACCGACTCCATAATAAAATTTTTCACTTTCCGAAAGTTTGTGAAGATTTTCTGATGGGGTCCCGGGATGTACAATGATGTTTTGGGAAATAGATTTAACAACTGTGAAAACAGAGAATGTTTAGTTACAAAATATTAATGTGAATCCTTTACAGCATGAAATTGAAAGATCGGTAGTAAATGCAATTCTATAACTGCTAAACTATGGTGAGTGGTTCTCATTCTTAGTAAGTGAAAGATGAAATGGTGTGAATGTGAAAGAAAGATCTGTTCTCATAATAGGAACATTTCCCCATTCTTAGTCATAACGCTCTTAGCAAAATTTTTTTTTAGGATACCAGACTTTCCGATTAAAGAAAAAGTAAGTAAAAGTATTGGCTGCATTTAAAGTTTATTTACAGTTAAAAACATTTTTATTTAATTATTGATAGAGTAAAGCAGCCTTTCTCAACCAGTGTTCCTCCAGAGGTTGCTGGGGGTTTCTTGAGTAGTGGTGGATTAAACTGCTGCCTGGCCTGCATAGTTCTATGTCCAATGCCACTTGGCACAGCAAGTAGTATTGGAACCAGTGGAACTTCTCCTCTCTTTCCTCAAGTAAGTAACCACTAACACCGATGATAATGTTAACTGTCTGTAAAGGGGGGGGGGGCATTCTACCTACTGACCACCAATGTAAGGAGTATTATTTCATTGCCCCCAATGTATAAAGTCACTACACTGACCAACAGTATAATGGGAATTCTTTCCACTGACCCCCAACATCACAGAAACCCTTTTTTCATTGACCACCATTGTGGTGTGATTATTGTACTGCGAGCTGGTTCCCTGAGACCTGAACATTATTTCAAAGGTCTGCTTATGTTGGGCAAGGATAAAGTTAGATACTTTGGCTGTGACTGTCATCAGCACCGCCAAAATATTTAGCTACCCTTTCCTGGGATATTCAGACACAGTGCGTCATTCCTTTGTTGACTGGCAGATTAGTATAGTGCTGGAAACATACACCATGCTTTAGAAAAGCTAATTATTGATTGCTGGGACACACTTCTTTAATTTAATATTATCTACCTGACAGAGGTTCTAACCCCCTCACTATTCTATCCAAAAGTAATTAAAAAAGGTTTAGAATTTGCCTTTAGTTAACCCCTTAATGATCTAGGTGAACAATACATTGTTTTTTCAGTTCAAATTGGTCACCAGCAACAGAATCCCTAGAATATGCAGGGACCCCACTCCTGACTTGTCTGCTTCCTGCTACCCTGCATTCCCAAATGACCCTGCGCTGTTCGATTTCTCACATTACCCTCCCCTTCTGACTTACTACTTTGTAAATAGTTAGTTTAGTTAGTATTACTATTGCATATACACTATGTTTTCATTGGATTGTTTGGTGTTGTTTATGGTTTGCTTTATGTCACATGTGTCTATATTTTTTAAATAACTTGTCTTCATTTGCAAATTGAAGTTTGGTATGCCTTTGATGTACTAACAAATATCAAGTTACATCGGTCTGAAAGATAAAATAATTTGGAATCTAGACAACAGGAAGTGAAAGCAAATGTATCCTAAAACAAGTTAAATACCCTCTTGGAGCCCTGGGACCCTACCTGTGGCCCAGGGGCCGAATGCATCCCTTTTGCACTTTTGTGTTCTCTATGGCCCCTTTAGCCAGTACATTCTGTGCTGTCCATCTCTTTTTATGTTATTTTCTCCTCTGATATTTTATAATAGAACATGATAAGAGAAAAATCAAATGTGGCATTAGTAATTGTAAGGGGACTGTAGCAAGCAGAAATGTGAAAGCTTAGATTTTAAAGGGGCCATAATAGCTGTGATTTCTAGCAGTACTCAAAAAAATATTGTCCCCTGTGAAGAGAAATCCCTCAAAAAGGAGATGGTCTGATGAATAGATCACAATTAATTAAGTAATATAACAAAATGTAATAGTCATTTATACATAAAGACACCTATACAAAACATTTAAAAACAATTAAAAAAGCTTCCCTGGAATCACCTAAATATAATGATATGGATGTTTAGATATATAAATCTCCTAAAATGCAGGAAGTCTCGGGTGCAGGCAAAATGGTGATATATCAAAAATAGAATAACAGAGCTGTACTCACGTTGTGTTTTTAACCCGAAATGGAGTAGTCCTTGTTATATCCCACAGCGATACATGCATGTAGATTGTTTAATAAAAAATTGGATTTTTCCAGAAAAGATTATAGGGCACTCAGGGATTTGGAGGAGCTTTGGGAGGAGGGGCACATTTCTGATGAGGACGAAACCGAACCAGGGATTTCCCCCACTATCAAGAAATCCTTTAAACGCAAATCCAGAACGTTCCCGCCTTTGTCGCAAAATATTAATATTTGGGACTTTGTTAAAAGAGTGAGCGAGGAAATCATGTTGGCTGTACCCATTAAAATAAAGGAAGACAACCTCACTCCCTCTGAGAGAACAGCTCTAGATCTTTTAAAAAAAGATAAGAGGATAGTTATCAAGCAGGCAGACAAGGGCAGAAACGTGGTCATTATGACCAACGAACAGTATACAGAGATGGTGATGAGGATTCTGGAAAATAAAATCTGGTACCAACCTGTAGAAGTTTCTGTCATTGGATCCCTCCAAACCAAGTTGGATAAAATACTGGAAGAGGCCTTTGACCTAGGTCTTATGGACAAAGGCACCCTAGATTTTCTAAGGGTGCCCTATCCCAGAACGCAGGTTCTATATGCCCTCCCCAAGATCCATAAATCTTTAGCAACGCCTCCGGGTAGGCCCATAGTTTCAGGCTGTGGATCATTGACGGAAAATGTGAGCTCATGTATAGACCACTTTCTTAAACCACATGTGGAGTCTTTGACCTCATATGTCAAGGATACCCCACATTTAATTTCACTAATCCAAGATCTAGAAATGCCAGAGGGCACTCTCCTGGTGGGTCTAGATGTTGAGGATCTATACTCTTCTATCCCACATGCCAAAGGGTTAAAAATGACCGAAAGATTTCTGGCCACATTGGGGACATCTGAAAGTATGCATAGTGCTTTCCTGTTGCGACTTTTAGAATTTGTTTTGACGCATAATGTCTTCCTTTTTGGCAATCAGCATTATTTGCAAAAACAAGGTACTGCCATGGGGACAAAGTGTGCGCCCTCCTACGCCAATTTATACCTAGGTGGTTGGGAGCAAGATCTGTTAGATAGAGAGGATCTGTCCATGTACCTGTGCCATGTTTTATCGTGGCACAGGTACATACAGTAGATGATATCTTGATACTATGGACGGGGGGAGAAGATTTCCTGAAAGACTTTGTTGATGTCTTGAATCTCAATGATCTCAATTTGAGATTCACGTTAACATTTGACAATGACAGGCTACCCTTTTTGGACATCCTGGTATGCAAGAATGCCAGAGGGGTCCTCTATACCAGCCTATACAGGAAAGATACGGCGGGTAACGCTATCCTCGAAGCAAGTAGTGCCCATCCACAAAATTTGAAGAACAGTATACCATATGGCCAATATTTAAGAGTCAGGAGGAACTGCACTATGGACACCGACTTTGAGAGAGAGGCCCAAAACTTAAGGATGAGGTTAAGGGCCAGGGGATACCCGAATAAAACACTTAAAAAAGCATATCAGCGGGCAAAGGGTAGACCTAACGGACCTATTAAGAAAAATAAAGCCAAATCACGAAATAATGACAAAGAAGATTCCCTTGTGAGACTAATCTTGACCTTTAACAACCAGCACAAAGAAATATCTAGGATCCTTCAAAAACATTGGCACCGTCTGACTAAGGATCCTAGAATCTCAAAATTCTTAAGTACTAAACCCACTATTACTTACCGACGATGCCCCTCCCTTAAAGACAAACTGACGAGCAGTGACTTTTCGACTAGGAGTGGCCTCTGTTGCAAATACCCCGACACCTTCCAGTGTCAAAGGTGCAAATTCTGTCGATATGTCCAGATTGGAGCGGAGGTGACTACACCTCGGGGAAAGCGCTTCAAAGCCCGTCATTTTGTAAACTGTGAAACAAAGGGTGTTATTTATTTAATGCTCTGTAAATGTGATATGCTTTACGAAGGCAAAACGAAACGAATGTTTAAAAACAGAATCTCGGACCACCTGGCGGACATAGCAGCCAGAGATCTAAGGTCACCGATAGTTAGACACTTTGTTAACACACATAATGGACATATCGACAGACTTCGTTTCTTTGCACTGGACAGGGTCCATCAACCTAGACGTGGGGGGGATTGGGACAAATCTCTTTTACAAAGGGAATGCAGATGGATTCACCAAGTGAGTTCTCATGAGGCACCCGGGCTCAACGACATGATCAATTTCAGTTGTTATCTCGACACCTAATGACATTCAAACATTGCGCTTTCCCATTCTATATATGTTTAGATATAGCGATATAAAATAATATATTCTTTACAAATCATTGGTTTGCCATTTAAAAGTTGTAAAATTTGTGAAATACCCCCAAAGCTCCGAATTTTGATGGTTTAACAAATAGCTTAAATTATAGACCCAGGATATTGATGCAATGGGCACCAATTTATGGGTCTACATCTGTGGACCCCTTTTTGGGTGACTTTTTCCATTTATGGATACTTGTGCCCTTATATGGCATTGACATGTGGAGGTATATATGTATATATATA